GGCAGACACTTAACCGACTGAGCCACCCAGGCGTCCCATCAAATGAAAAAAAAAATTTTAAAGAAAATGAAAGATAAATGTTTTTGAAAAGTAATTAATGAGTGAAGAGTTCTCATAATGTTGAGTGAAAAAAGCAAGATACAGTATTCTACATATTGAAATAGAGAAAATTGAGATGCTAGGAAGAAGGAAGCCAAAATCATAATCTTAACAGTGGTAATATCTGAATGGTAAAAGTACAAATTATTTCAGTTTTTATCTTTCATTTTCTTTATACTTTTTTGTTGCTTTTTTCATATTTTCTGAATGATAATGAACTTCTGAAATCAGAATAAAATCATAAGTATTATTTAAAATTAAAAGAAGTGGAGTAAAAGGGGAGACTACCGTACATTAAGACATATTTAAAACTTAAGTCAGTATGGTACTGGCATGAGAAATAAAAATAGAATAAGTAGGGTAGAACAGATCCTTGTATATATGAGAATTTAATATATGATATGGGGGCTTCACCAAATAGTGAAGGAAGAATTAGACCATAATTGGCTCAGTTACAAATGGTAACCAGTAGTGCTGCTATGGTAGGCACTATCTATGCTAAGTGCTTTTATGTGCATTTTCTCCTTTACTTATTACAACCTTTTGAGATGTAGGTAGTATTATCCCCATTTTAGAGATGAGAGAGGGAACTAAAGCCCCTAGAAGCTGAAGCATTTGCCCAAATCACACAGAAAAGAAGTAGTAGAACCTAGATTGAAACCAAGTATGTCAGACTTCAAGTCTGTAGTATTCTTTGCTACTGTGTTCTATGTATATAAAGTTTATGGCAGGGAGTCTAGAATACAGGAGGCATTTAGTAAATGTTATTCCTATGAGTAACCTACAGTTTGCTGCATATATTGTAATATATAATGTTTGTACATAGTATATATAATAACGTAAATACTACTAATAGTAATCAAGCTGTCTTGTCATTGAGATTGAGGAACTTCTGCAGGGAATTAGTAATCCTGTAGTTTTTCCAGAATAAATCCCCAGTGGAATCATATAATTTAACAAATAACACATGATGAACATCACCAAATATTGGTTGGTTTAATAATTACTATTTCCTGCTGTCTCATTCACTCTCTTTGGACACTGTCCTCTCTTTCTTATAATTCATTCAAGGCTGGTTGATTAGCAGTGTTGGCCAAAAGATGGAGCTAGCGTTTCCTTTTGAATATCCTGCTATAGACTCATTTGTTTAGCAAACATTGAGCATCCATTCTGCCATGCATCATACGAGGGTTAGAGAAATGTGAAAAATTGCAAATTAATATTAACAAGTATAAACCAAACCAACCAAAAATCTCACATCCCTAGGAAATTAAATACTCTTTCCTCTGTGAGGCCTTCTCTGATTCTGCCAGGTGAATTTAGTCACTCTTTCCTAAGAGCACCCAAAACAACCTGTTCAACTTATAAAGTCACATCCCTCTCAATGTATTAGTCTTTCGGTGAGCCTGCCTGTCTCCCACACTTGACTTCTTTCGGAGCTCCTTTAGGTCAGTTTTTCTTTCACAGTACTCAGGATGTGACTGGTACAATTTGGCTTTGGAGGATTTTTGTTGAGGTTTTTTGGTTTGGGTTTTGGTTTTTTTTTTCCATGACCTGGTTGATGCATTCAGTCAGTCCCCTAATAAATATTTACTGATACCCACTCTATGCCATGTACTATGCTAGATAGTTTATAATAAATATGAATAAGAAACAAGACAATAGACAGGGCCAAACAGACAAGGTCCTAGATCTCACGGGAACTCACGTGGCCACTTGAAAGGAATATGTTTTCTTTGTACAAAATCAGTCAAGCATTTGAACCTTATTTGTTGTATTGTTCAAATCTTCTGTGATTTTAAATGTATTTTAGGCATATTTTACATGTCAAAGCTCAATGGTAGTATGCTTAAAAGTCTCCCACTGTAATTGCATTTCTGTTCATTTTCTTCTATTTTTGCCTCATATTTTGCCAACAAAATAATATGGAAAGATTAAAAATAAAAGAACGGGCAAAATTAAATCAAGGAAGTATAAATCAAAGAAAGAAACAATAAATAAAATAGTCCCCAAGGCAAAAAAAACATTGAGGACAAAGGAGAATATTTTATATTGATAGAAGATATAAGCTCTGAATTGTGCACTATATAATATAGCATCAAAAAGTGTAAAATAGGGGCGCCTGGGTGGCTCAGTTGGTTAAGCATCTGCCTCCGGCTTAGGTCATGATCCCAGGGTCCTGGGATCGAGCCCTGCGTTGGACTCCTGCTCATCAGGGAGCCTGCTTCTCCCTCTCCCTCTGCTCCTCCTCCACCTTGTGCTCTCTCTCTCATAAATGAATAAAATCTTTTTTAAAAAGTATAAAATAGATTATAAGGTATGAATAAATTTTCCAAGGGGGGAATGTGTGGACAGGGAAGAGGGTGGAAATTGTTCTTTCTATGTGGCCCAGGAAGATACCTCCTGGAAAGCCCAGTCATTTGGAACTTAGTTTGTAAAGAAGCAACAGGGCTTGTCGGCATGTCCTGCAGTCCCCAAAACACCCTGGAGTTCAGGGAAATGACAGTCGGGCTTGAAAAAAGAGTAATGGCAGTAGGGCTGCTGTGCCTCTGTGATCGTTCTGGGTGAGGAAAAAGCAGGTTAGAGATTCAAAGCCAGGCTGCCTGGCTGCAGAGCCCAGGCTCTTTCCAGGGCACCATACTGCCTCCTAGTAGTAGTGATGGGATCGGAGTCCCCAGGAATTCATTCCACGTGCCACTCAGAAGAGACCAGCCCTTGCTTTAAATGCCAGCTTTCTGAAGTCTCACACAGCTCCAATAAATATAAATCATCATTGTCTTGTGGGTCTTCAGGAAGCCACAGACAAAGACATAGATGTATATTTTCATCTTTCTCTTCCTCTTTCTGCATTCTTGGTGCCTAGAATATTAAAACATATTCAGTTCATGAAATTCAGGTCAAATACTCATCAGTGAGCACTGGGTGTTATACGCAACTAATGAATCGCTGAACACTACATCAGAAACTAATGATGTACTATATATTGGCCAGCTGAATATAATAATAATTTAAAAAAAGAGTACTTATTTTAGTTAGTGAATTTCCTGTCTTGGGGAATGGCCCCATCATCTGGCCATCTGCTCAAGCCAGAATTCTAGGAATCTTAGACTCTTCTTTTTGCTTTACCCCCTTCTCATAACATGCATGACCAAATCCTATGGATTTATCTCCTCTCCTCAATAGCTCTTGTCTTTGTCCCCTGGTCCTCTCCATCCCCTGAGCCAGTGCCTTTGTTCATACCTCTTCAGCCACAGGTTGCTACAGTTGCCTCCCAACTGTTATCCATGCCTCTTGTCTCTTATCCTATGAGCCAGTCACTATCACTGTCCTGCTGATAATCCTTAAGTGTCGTCTTATATTTTCAGAACCAAGGTTCAAATTCCTTAATACTGTTTTTTGAGACACTTCATGATCTGGCCTTTTTTTTTCCAGTTTTATTGAGAAAAAAAATGATACACATCACAGTATAAGTTCTAGGAGTACAGCATGGTGGTTTCATTTACATATATTGTGAAATAATTACCACAGTAGGATTAGTTACCATCCATCATCTCATATAGATACAAAGAAAAAGAAAAAAATTTCTCCTGGTGATGAGAGTTCTTAGTAGGAGCTACTCTCTTAACAACTTTTCTGTATACCACACAGCAGTGTTAGCTATAGTCATCATGTACATTATCTCTAGTACTCATTTATCTTATAACTGGAAGTTTATACCTTCCTGACCACCTTCCCCCAAACTCCCCTTCCCCCAGTGCCCCCCCCCCACCTTTGGTAACCACAACTCTGATCTCTTTTTCTATGAGTTCAGTTTTGTTTTTTTTTTAAGATTTTACTTACTTATTTGACAGAGAGAGACACAGCGAGAGAGGGAACACAAGCAGGGGGAGCAGGAGAGGATGAAGCAGGCTTCCTGCTGAGCAGGGAGCCCGATGTGGGGCTTGATCCCAGGACCCTGGAATCATGACCTGAGCTGAAGGCAGACGCCTAACTACTGAGCCACCCAGGCACCCCTATGAGTTCAGTTTTTTTAAGATTCCACATAGAAGTGAAATCATGCAATATTTGTCTTTCTGTCTGACTTACTTCATTTAGCATAATGCCTTCAAGTGTCCTCCGTATTGTTGCTAATGGTAGGATTTCCTCATTTTTTATGGTTGAATAATATTCTGTTGTATTTGCGTATATTACCACAACTGCTTTATCCACTCATCCATCAGTGGTCACTTAGGTAGTTTCCATGTCTTGGCTATTGTAAATAATGCTGCAGTGAACATGGGGTTGCAGATATCTTTTTGTGTTAGTGTTTTCATTTCCTCTGGATATATTCCCAGAAACAGGATTGCTCGATCATATGGTAGTTCTATTCTTAATTTTTTGAGGAACCTCCATACTGGTTTCCATAGTCTGGCCTACTTTCTAATCCTGCCTTCTGTCACTGCAAACCTGCTTAGCTCCAGCATTATGGAACCTGCTATATCATACTGGACTCCACAACCCTGTGCCTTCATGCGTACTGTTCTCTCAACCTAGAACATCCTTTCCCCACCTTTTGTTTCACTATTTTCTACAGGCCCTTTGAAACCCAGCTCCTACTGACTTTTTTCAGCATGACCTCTCTCACTTTTCCAGCCTCGCCCTCTTTTGTGCTCATGTAGCACCCTGGGCATTCTTCTATCTTGGTATTTACCACACTGTCCCGTCATTGTTGATACACTTGCCTATCTCCTCTACCACCCAGATTGTAAGCAACCAAAGGCAGAGACTCTTTTACTTTATTCTGTTGGAATTGCCAAAACCTCACCTAGAGTCTGGTCCATGATAGGTTCTTAGCTTAGTAAATGTTTGTGAAATGAATAAATGAGCTTTTGTGGCTCAATAATGATGCTTTTATTTTCTAGGTACATGGTTCAGTGGCCTGGTGGCCGAATCCTGCACCGCCATGAGCTTGACACTTTCCTTGCCCAGGCAGTATCTACCCAGCTTTATGAACCAGATCAACTTCAAGAACTCAAGGTGATTTGATCTTCCCTCACTTAAATTCTTTCTTTTATGAGTTCATGGCTTTCCTTTTGGTCTTTTCCCCCGCCCCACACCCCCACCCCCCCGGAGCTGGGAAGAAGAGTAAGTTCTGCAGGTAAATGTTTGATTCACTTTAGCCAAACATGTATGTTTGTTAATAAAACCAAGAGGTGCCTCTACCACTGCTCCCATATGATTGGGTGAGAATGGACAGAAAAAATGGATATTATACAGCACAAGTAAGTCGTGGCCACAAACCATGGTCAGGGTTTCTGACTCTTGCAAGATACACTACAGGGGATTTTCCCTGGTGTCCTCTGTTTGTTTCTGAGTAAATGTCCACCCTCCCTTTATAATAATATGTATTGGGCATTAGAAGGAAGTCTAGAAGAACATAAGGCAGAAAGTAAATCCACCATATAACTGAAAGCATTAGAACATACTAGGTTAGAGGGCAGGCTCTGAAGCCAGGCTGCCTTGGGTTTGAATCTTGGCTTCCTTACTTCCTAGCTGTGTGATTTGGGGCAGGTTGCTTAACCTCTCTAGCTTCAGTTTCCTTACTTGTAGGGTTATGAGGATATTAAATAAAATAATCCATGCAAAACACTTATTAGAACAGTGTCTCGCATATTTTTAGTATCCAATAATACTAGTTATTAGACTAGCTATTAGTGCAGGCCACCCCTCTCCTGACTTCAGTAGCCGTGGTCTTTTGAGAACCTAGGATGAACCTGGAAAAGCAGCAGTCCAGTAGGACTTAGAAAATTTTAATTTGAATGAGGTTAACTAAGGGAAAGACAAAAACAGTCTAAGGAAAACAATGTTGATTCCTTTTTACGGTAAGCGTAATATTGCTTGGCACTAAAGCAGTTACTGAGGCCAGATCACATGTAGGAGGGGACCTACAAGTACTTCCCCTTTTCCCATTGAAGCCATCTAACATGCTCACTTGAGATAACAAGTATAAACATTTTGATGTTTTCTTTATCTTTTGCCATGCATTTTCTACATAGTTGAGGTATTGTTGATGTAATCACATATTGTATTTTTAAACTTAACATAGCACATATTTTCTGTGTCTTAAAAAAGTGTAATAAATTTATTACATGTATGTATCATTTAATTATTATCACATTAGCCATTTGGTTTCCAGTTTTCTCCAATTGTATGTAATGTTATCATTAAGATCTTTATGCATAGAGCTTTATTCTCAGCTCTACTTCCTTAGAATAGATTCCTAAAAATAGAATTTCTGAGTCAACAAATGTGAACATTTTCAGGGTTACTGACATACTGCTTAAGTGTAACATGCATTCCTCATCAGCTTTGGGTGTTCTTTTTTGTCTTTAATTTTTAAATTTTTTTCTAATTTGACAGGCCAAAAAAAAAAAAAAATGGTATCTCAAGGTGGTGTCTTTTTAAAGTTTTAAAGCTGATGTCTTTTTTTTTGGCGGGGGGGGGTAATGAGTATCTTTCAAAAACTGTCTCCTGGAACGACATGGATAGAAGCTACTTGTGCACTCAAATGTCTGTAATTAAAAGGCAGCATGTTCAGATTTAACTAGAATAATCAACACAACGGGGATAAGAGTAAATGTACCCAATAACAGTAAGTTTTTAATAGTAGTTTTTCTTCTGTGGTGGTTTCAGATTGAGAAACTGGATGCCCGAGGGATCCAGCTTGCTGCCCTCTTCATGAGTGGGGTTGACACAGCTCTGTTTGCTAATGATGCCTGTGGCCAGCCAGTCCCGTGGGAGCACTGCTGCCCCTGGATTTACTTCGATGGCAAGCTGTTCCAGAGCAAGTTAATTAAAGCAGGCCGAGAGCGAGTATCCCTGCTTGAGCTCTGCGATGGCCAGGTACCAGCAAGTTGGGTGGCTGCTGAGGGCCATCTCTGATCTGCTGTGGGGATGAATGGGCAGAGGGTGGAAAGGAGCAGAGACATTGGAGAGGGAGGGAGGAGAAGTGGGAGAACATGTCTGCCATTAACCTAACTTGGTCAAGGATCAGCCCAAAGGCCCAGAGTCTGATATGTACATGCTATAAAATCATATGTTGGAAAGTGTTTTTTTATGAACTTCAAATTTTCATATTGTTTTCTTACTCTGAGTATTTCTTTCCCCTGGAATACTCAGATATACTGCCTTTCCTGCAATTCTTAGCATTTCATTTCCCTTATTTGTAAAAAAAAAAACTGCAAGTTACTTTTGCAAGTGATGATATCTTTCGTAAAGGAACTATGTTTGGAACTAGAAGAGGGTGGTAAAGTAGATGACAGAGTAGAAGCACGGGATTTTTTACAATGAAGCCTTAGGAAAGATGAGGAAAGGCACCCTTACTTACTCCTTTATCCATTTGGGGGGAATGTGCTGAGGGACTAGAACAGGGATTGGCAAACTACCTCAAAATTCAAAACTTAGAATTTTTATTCCAGTAAGGTTTTATTGGAACACAGCCACATTCATTCATTTATATATTGTCTATAACTGCTTTCCCCCCGCAACAGCAGAGTTGTATAGTTGTGACAGAGACAATATGACCCTTTTCAGAACTGGTTTGTTGACCTCTGGCCTAGAGGCCTGGACTTATCCTGGACAGAGGTCATGGTCTCTGATCCTGGGTATGGAGGAAAAGGTTAAAAAGGTTGGCGTATGTAAAAAAAAAAAAAAAAGGTTGGCGTATGTCAGGTTTTATTCTTTCATCTAATTCTGTTATTTCCCCCTTAAAAAATAACCTAGCCTTTTTCTTTCTGGTCATGTGATAGACCATCGGTAAATACTTATAGTTATATTTGTCTTCCTGGACCCAGTCAGTGTGCCTCACAAGCCCTCTGTCAGAGCTAATATGATAGTTTGGTGTCATGCAAACAGTGCCAGGCAGGTTTTCCTGGGTATGGCTCCTTGCGCCATTTAACTCCAGACCTCAGTTCTCTTAATGGCAATAGATTTGTGAAACTGTACCTAGAGTGCCCAATACTGTGCCTGAAACATAGAAGTTAAAAAATGGCAGCTGTTGGGGCACCTGGGTGATGTAGTCGGTTAAGCGTCCAACTCTTGGTTTTGGTTCAGGATCGTGACATCGAGCCCCATGCCGGGCTCCGCACTCAGTGTGGAATCGGCTTGGGTTTCTCTCTCCATCTCCCTCTGCCCCTCTCCCCATCTCTCTCTAAAATAAATAAATAAATCTTTTTAAAAAATGGCAGTTGCTATTATTAATTCTATTCTTCCTTTGAAGGCTGACCTGGCAACCAAAGTGGAAAAGATGAGACAGAGTATCCTTGAAGGAGTCAACATGAACCATCCACCACCTTCGGCTCTACTTCCATCACCTACTTTTGTGCCTCCCATGGTGCCCTCTCTCTACCCTGTTTCACTTTATTCCCGAGCCATGGGCTCAGTGCCACCTCCCCCTCAAGGACGGAGCCGGGGATTTGCCGGTCAGTACCTAAGAATGAGGTATTTGTCATCCTCAGTCTGTCTTGCAATAACCCATCCAGTAATTATTGCCAGATACAGAATCAGCAGTTTCATATATATATTATCTAATTTACTTGAAGAGAAGTTTATTGACAGGAAGGGGTGTAGCCTAGGAAAGAAAGTCCACTGACTTCCCAGACCATGCTCCATAGAGGTGGTTGGTCCCTGAGGATTTGACTCTCACCAACCAAACTCACAAAGTAATTGATGTAGAAACCTGGAGCTACTTTATTACTTTTGAGAACTATATCTCAAGTGAACTGGATCATCATAGTTGCCGGTTAGCTCACTCATTCCCCATAGGCAGATGTACATAGGAGCTTCCAGAAAGACCAAATGGGAGGTAAGAGCAAATGACCAGTGTCCACAGACAACCATACCTGATGTACCCATTTTTGCTCTGGGGGTAGGCCTGACACATTTCCAGAAGCATGGAGAGAAATAAGTCACAGTCTGTGCCCACGAGGGGATTGCAGTTTAATGGGGAAAACAAATACACACACATACACACAGACATATATAAGTATAAATCATGGTGACACCTGAGCTGTGGCTTAATGACGAATAGACAGTCATGCTTAGGTAGCTCAGATACTGATCCTAATAATTCAAACAACCCTGGCAAAACAGGATATTTTAATAGGGACATTTTGACATGAAATCAAGGTTCTGTGATCAGGTGGGAGTGTCGTTGCTATGGTTGAAGATGTTTGTTGTCTATTTTTTTTTAAGATTTTATTTATTTATTTGACAGAGAGAGAGACAGTGAGAGAGGGAACACAAGCAGGGGGAGTGGGAGAGGGAGAAGCAGGCTTCCCGCCAAGCAGAGAGCCTGATGCGGGGCTCAATCCCAGGACCCTGGGATCATGACCTGAGCTGAAGGCAGACGCTTAACGACTGAGCCACCCAGGCGCTCCTGTTTGTTGTCTATTGCTCATCATTTTAAAAAAATAAAGCTGGAAGTTGAAGTTTGTCTTAAATTTAGGATCAAGGCTCTCCTTAGATGAGCAGTGTGAATATCTGCTCTGTTCAGTCAGGTAATGATCAAGCCTTATAAACCAGGGAGCCAGCCATTCATTCATTCCATTCCTTGAAGCTGACTTTAGAGATCCTTGCTCTCATTCTTTGCATGTTGATTTTATTGTGTCTCAGAAGACAGCCTTAATTAAGGCTAAGTTCTCAGGAGGTCCTTGCCATTGTCCTAGCTCCCAGTGATGCCTGGTCTCCAGTTACTGGTGGTTCATGAGGAACCTCTTGCCTCCTGAAAGGCCACGATAAGATCCCCAAATGCAAGTCTTTCTAGCCTTCTTAGGACTAGCTCTAGTACCCTAGTTCCTTAGACTCCCACTGTCCTATGATTGAAGGGCTCTTTACTGGCGACCTGCTTAGTGAGCGAAGGGTTATTAACATTCGTTTTTTTTTCCATAAACTAAAATTAAAGGTTTACCTGAACTCTGTATTCTATGAAGGCTTCCCTTTGTGCCAGATTACAAAGCTCTGCTGTGCTGGTGAGCTCATACATATATACGGAGTTGGAATTTCCTGTTTTAAGGAGATATGCTATCTTGTCTTAAATTGGTTCTGGTTTTCAACTGTTGCTGTTCTTGCTTATTAATTATAAATTACTTTCAGTTTAGTTTCATTATTTTCCATTTAGTTTGGTAGTTTGGCTGAGCCTCCATTGTGTAGTGGTACGTATTTGAATCAAAAGTGGTTTGGGCCCAGTTTATATTAAGTAACCAGAATTTAAATAAACACTTAAAAGGAAAAGAAAAGTGGTAACAATGCATCATGGAACACTACATCAAAAACTAATGATGTACTCTATGGTGACTAATATAACATAATAAAAAATAAAGAAAGAAAAAAAAAAAAGGTAAGTGGTTTTGGCCCAAATGAATAAACAAACAGAAAGCAGAATCAGACCCATAAATAGAGAACAAACTGATGGTTGCCACAGGGGAGGGAGGTGGGGGGCTGGGCAAAATGGGTGCAGGGGAGTGGGAGGTACAGGCTTCTGCTTATGGAATGGGTAAGTCACAGGGATGAAAGGTACAGCATAGGGAATCTGGTCAGTGAATTGTGTAATAGCGCTTCATGCTGACAGATGGTAGCTGCGCTTGTGAGCAGAGTGTAACTCCGCAATTCTTGAATACCTATGTTGTACACCTGAAACTAATGTAACATTGTGTGCCAACTAAACTTTAATAAAAAGAAAAAAGAAAGGAAAATAAAAGTGGTTTTGGCATATAATTTTCTAATAACTAGATTTTAGGACATTCATTCTTTCAGCAGATATTGAATGCCTACTATGTGCCAGGCTCTGTAGCTGAAAAATGAGTCGTCCACACCCAGCTTGCCAAAGTGGATGTGCTACAGATCTTCGACCCCCGTCCCTAAATATGCTTCCACTATGAACCTTTGTTGTTATCAGAGTTGTTTTTTTAAGATTTTATTTATTTATTTGACAGAGAGAGAGAACACAAGCGGGGGGAGTGGGAGAGGGAGAAGCAGGCTTCCTGCCGAGCAGGGAGCCCGACTGGGGGCTCGATCCCAGGACACTGGGATCATGACCTGAGCCGAAGGCAGACGCTTAACGACTGAGCTACCCAGGCACCGCAGAGGTTTTGTTTTTTGGTTTTTGTTTTTTTAAGATTTTATTTATTTGACAGAGAAAGAGACAGTGAGAGAGGGAACACAAGCAGGGGGAGTGGCAGGCAGAGGAAGAAGCAGGCTCCCCACTGAGCCAGGAGCCCAATGCGGGGCTTGATCCGAGGACCCTGAGATCATGACCCCAGGACCCTGGGATCATGACCTGAGCCGAGGGCAGATGCTTAAGGACTGAGCCACCCAGGCACCCCCCACCCCGAGTCTTTATTTCTCTTTATCATAGAGAAATGGAAATAAGCAGAGTAGGGGGCGCTGTAGGATCTTTTTTTCCACCTCTTCTCCTACCTTGCACTTAGCATTCACTGCCCTTCTTCCTGTCTTTCCAGGTCTCCATCCAATCCCGCCCCAAGGAGGAAAACTGGAGATTGCCGGGATGGTTGTGGGCCAGTGGGCTGGCAGCAGGTCCTCCAGGGGCCGAGGCTCTTTTGGCATGCAAGTTGTTTCTGTCGGTGGGCCAGGAAAAGGGTATGTATTCCAGTAGGTTGGTATGAGCTAATGTCAGTCAAGGTGCCATTGGGAAAATGCCCAACTATTGAATACTTCTGTTAAGGTAAGAGGCATTAACTAACTTTCCATTTTTAAAGCCAGTTTTCAGTTTAGTTCAGCAAACATACACTCAATTCCCTGCCTCAATGAAAAAGGTTTTGCCCTAGAGGAGGATATGGGACACAGAACAATTTAGTATGATACAGAAATGAGAGAGAGAAAGGTTTACAATGGTAACACAGAGGAGGGGCATCTAACTTAAGAGGGTCATCTAACTTAAGAGGGTCAAACTTCCTAGAGGAGGTGAGTAGTTAACTAAGTGAAAATGTGGGTGTGGGCTCTATATGTTCCTCAGGATCACTTTTTCCCTCACTTTCTACAGGCATGGAAAAGAACAGACTGGTAGAGGATCCAAAGGACATAAAAAAGGAAACAAACAAGTAAGCCCTGTTTTGAGATCATCTGGCTTCTATTTGATACCTCTTGTCTTTTCAGCTAACTTGCAAAAGATCAGATCAGGCATGGAAGACTGTTTTCCTAGCTTCTCCCAGCATTTGATTCTATTCTGTTGCTCTCTAGCTGTCTAGTGAGGGTTAGCCTGCCCAGGATGTCCCCACAATGCTGCAGAGTGTCATCCTTTTCCCTGAGTGAGACCACAGGATAGAAACCAGGCACTGTGTCCTGAACACCCATACCTAGCATAGTATGTGCTACGTGCAGCCGTAAAGGGGCCAGAGTGAAGTTAACAGTGGGATTGCCTGCTGCTCAGGCTTTCTGAGGGACTACCAGAGATGCTCAGAAAATTGGCCTTTGCCCTTTGCTGAATATGAGAGGGAAGGAAGTGTTGCCATTTTGTTTATTCTTAATGGCTCAAAATGGTCTTTAACTTTCCTCTAATGTACACCTTGAATTATAATACAGTTTCTGCTGGTCTTCATTAGACATGCCCCTCTCCCCAGATATGAAGAACCTAATCTTATAGTGAATCAGAATCTTGTATGGACTCAGCCTGCTGGGCTCCTCATAGTATAGCAGCTATCATTTCTTTCTTTCTTTCTTTCTTTCTTTCTTCCTCTCTTTCTCCCTCCCTTCCTTCCTTCCTTCCTTCCTATTTATTTAGAGAGTACACATGAGCAGGGGTGGGGGAGGGGCCGAGGGAGAGAGAGAATCTTTTTTTTAATCTTTGATTTTTTATTATTATGTTATGTTAATCACCATACATTACATCATCAATTTTTGATGTAGTGTTCCATGAGTCATTGTTTGCACATAACACCCAGTGCTCCATGCAGAACGCTCCCTCTCCAATACCCACCACCAGGCCAACCCATCCTCCCACCCCTCTCCCCTCTAGAACCCTCAGTTTGCTTTTCAGAAGGGAGAGAGAGAATCTTAAGCAGGCTCCATGCCCAGCACAGAGCCCATCGCAGGGCTGGATCTCACGACCCTGAGATCATGACCTGAGCTGAAATCAAGAGCGGACGCTTAACTGACGGAGCCACCCAGGTGCCCCAGCAGCTGTTTCTTGAGTGCCCCCTTTCTACCAAGCCCTCTATTAGACATTTTACATGCAGTTTCTAATCCTCCCAAGGGTCACTGATGAGACCATACTGCAAAGCAACTTTGACATAGGTTCTCAGTCCCAAATTAGCTCTCCTGTATACAGCCAGCCCTCGTTGCATCCAGTTAATCCCCACTGTCTAATGTTTTCTCAAAGATACATATTTGCTTTAATGTTATTTTGAGGTAAAAATGGAACTAGAATGGTAAGTCCTCCACACCAGTCAGAGAGCAAGGAGAGCAAGGACTTTGGGATTTTTCCAAAGCTTCTCAACTTTTTCCAGAAGCTGTTCAGTAAGATACAAGGGATTATACTTAGAAGGAAAACTGGTCGCTCAGATAGGCTCCCATAAGGTAATACAGCCTTGATTAACTCACCATGATTCAGGGTCTGATCATTAGGTATATGGTCTGAAAAACCGGATTTTTTTTTTTTTTTTTTTTTTGGTACAATAAGAGTAGCTCTATCTCTCAGGGGTTGACTCACATTAAAATCACAGAAATAGCTATGTGGATATGGCTGAAAGAGTGGCCTTGGGGAGAAGAGAGGGAGGGAAAGATACTGAAAGATCTGTGAAAGATTTAGTGAAAGGTACGAATTCACAGTACTTTATCTCAATCAAGTACTTTCCACAGTAATTATTGTGATATATTGTACATTTACTCTTTTCTGGTCACTCTTATAAATACTTGTGAGGTGCTTATTATTCTCCATTTTAAACAGGAGGAAACTGAGGCTCAGAGGGATGAAACATCTTGCCCAAAATTATCTATCAAGTCAATATCTGTGTTGCCATTCCGTCCTGAGCTGATTCCAAAGCCCTGTACTGTCCTGATTCCACTGCAGTATAACAACTCTAATTGGCAGAGACAAGATTCAGACTTAGGTCTGGCTGACCCTAGTGCATACACTCTTAACCATTTCTACCAGAGCTTGCTTTCTTTAAGTGTAAGCTGCAAGGGGAACCATGGTAATGGAAGTTTGCTTGGGGACTTGGAATCAAAATAATATTAGCTAGCATTTATTGAGCATTTATTGAGTTCTTACAGTGTGCCAGGCACAACGTGTTCTAAGTGCTTTACATGGAGTATCTCATTGAATCCTTATAGGAATTTAAAAAACAGATAGTATTATTATATTTTACAGATGAAGAAACTAAGGGAAAAAAAGGGATGATAGATGATCTTAAGTTTCTCTTTGCTAAGATTACTGGGGATACTGTTATCTACTCCAGAGGTAGCCTGGCCAAGGAAATTCTCATGTTGACTTTGTTTTTAACTCAGGCATCGTTTCTGGGCAGAGCTGCTGCTGATTGCCTTGATGACTCTCCTTTTTCTGTTCAGTCACCCTTTCTTCAGAGTATGAGATCATTGTTCCAGCTTATTAAATCTGCTTACGTTATAGTCCTGCGTTCTTTATTTTTCTAAAGTCTGTTTATTTTTTTTTTAGTAATCTCTGCACCCAACATGGGGCTCAGACTCACAACCCCGAAATCAGGAGTTACATGCTCTTCCGACTGAGCCAGCCGGGTGCCCCTATTGTCCTGTCCTCTTGAGATTATTCCTAGGCCACTGGATTTTTGTGTATTTTCAGATTCTTAAGTCACTTATTGGTAATGTTTTGATTTCTTTGTTGACTCCCTCAGGTAGCTAATTCCATCCATTGTGCGGATTTTTACTAGCTGCATCTTTTTTTCCAGGTTCTTGAGCAACACTTTATAGTAGTGCCCATAGTACTACTATACAGTAGTACAGGTTTTGGAGCCAAATGATCTAGCTTTGAATCTGGCTCTGCCATTTACTAGCTCTGTGACCTTACACAAGTTACTTAACTTCCCTGTGTCCTAGTATCCTTGTCTGTAAAATGGAGAAATTGGCATCTACCTCACAGAGTTATTATGAGTATTAAATGATATAAAGTGTTTATCACAGAGGCTGTAACATGGGAAGTACTCAATAAAAATTAAGTTATTATTTATAATTGACCACAGATTCAACAGGCATTAGATTTCTGTTACACTGAATTGAATTTAAAATAAATAAATAAATAGATAGATAAATAAGATTTCCATTATGTATTGTATCTTAGTGGAAAGAATGAGGTCTTTGGAGTCAAATAGACTTGGATGTAAGTCTAGGCATGCCAGTGACCTTGGGCAAATCATTTTACTTTTTTCTGAGCCTCATTTGTCTTATCCATAAAATAGACAACAGAGTACCTGGCACACCCAACCACTTAGCAATCGGAAGCTGCTATTTTCCTAATAACATTCATGGAGAGACAGCCCTGCACTGCAAGGTAATGCAGTTCATGTCATTAGCATTTCAATAGCAGTCACATCCCTGGAATTAACAGAAAAACAGGTGACTGTTTTTAGTTATGAAAGATTCTGTGGAATAGTGCATAGAGATCTTCTGATTTTCCTTTCCTTTCATTTACATGTCCAGTTGTCAGCATTGGACAGTATTGTGCAGTGGTTAAAGAGAATAGACTTTAGAGGCTGACCCACCTGGCATGGATTCCTGACCCCACTACTTTCTATCTGAGTGTCCTTGAGCGAGTTACTTTAACCTTTCTGAGCCTCAGCTTCCACATCTGTAAATGGGGCACCATGTCTACATTCAGGGTTCCTACTACTATTAGAAAAATACATTGTAAAGCTTTATAAATGATAGCTATGTCATTATTATGTGGTTGTCATGGCCATTGAGTTTTGGTCAAATCTGTCTGTTGTCACCCTAAGTTCTCAGGACAGTCATCAGAGTGTACTACTAGGTGGTAACAAGCTTTGGGCTTTCTGCTGTGTTTGAAGAACTGAAGCAGCTTCTGGAGGCTAGCTTAAGAACATGTTTGGGTAATTACCATTTCCACTGACTCTCTCCATCTTTGACAGGGCACTTCCGATGGAGTTTCTAAATCCCTGGAGCCTCATCAGGGTCGGTCCCACTCCCAGGTAAATGGAAACAATGGCACATTGATCAAAGAAGAGAAGAGTGATCATCATCTTCCAGCTCCATCCCAGTGTGCCTTACCCAGAGACAGCAACATGTGTAATAATGGTAACCGCTACTTCCCTGCGAAGAATGGGGAGAAGAGCCGCTTACGAGAGCAAAAGCTAGGAACTGTGGTACAGCAGAAGGAGGGGTAACGAGCAGAAGATGGCTTCAGCAGATCAGGAAGAGAGGAAAACCTATACTTTTCTGATTGTAGGCCCAAGTTAGAGGAGGACCTAAATGCTTTCCCTAGATTTATCCAGCATTTTATTGGGATGTCCTGTTGTATTCATCTTTTCCCGTTCCCTGTGTTTCTCTGGACCTCCAGACTTAGTGGTCTGCTTCTGGGGAAGCTCTGGCAGAGACGAATGGCAGCAGGACTAGCTCCTATTCTCAAATTGAATATGAAGTGCCAATATTCTCTTTGCCTCCCCTGGGAGCGTAGTAAGGCAGTGTCTGTCAGAAATCTGGTGTCATCATGTAAGGCCCTATAGAAAAGTTCCAGCTTTGGTTTTCTGAGTCTTCATCACGTTACTCATTTACAAAACCCATGGATGGTAGGGGTAGGGACTCCCGTCTATGGCCTCCTAACTTGCTTTTTCCTCTATGAAGTAGTGGGACCTTGGTATATAATCCGTACCTTCCTCTCACTCTTTCTCCCCATTCACCTCATCCAGGATTTTGTACCACCGCCTCTAACTCTGGCCTGACAATCAGATAGGTAAATGTTTTCAGGGAAGTGAAATAGTATTGGTTATTTTATTTTATTTTTATTTTTTATTTTATTTTATACACTTTAGAAAAAAACAAAAACTACCAATGGCCTTTGTACTGGGGGATTCTAGTGAGTCAGAAAAGTACTGGGCAGATTTTTCCTGCCTCTGAACTAATGCATTGTTTGTAAAATAGAAGATGTGGCGCAGTTCACCCACTCCCTGCTGCCCACACCCTGAAAGGGTGGGAATCGATGTATTAAAACTGAGTTCGAAAGGGAACTGAAAAGACAGTGCGTGCGTGCGTGTGTGTGTGTGTGTGTGTGTATGGGTGTGTGGGTGTGTGGGTGGATGTATATATGAATGTGTGTATCTATATGCATACACATACCCTTTATATAAAGAGACAGATCTATTTATCTATACGTATTTTATATATATAAATATATGTGTGTGTGCGTGTGTGCGTGCATGCACACATACATACATACATGGTGATGTCCCAGAGGATTTACTGAATTTCCCAGAAATGCTTCCACTGCTATGGAGTGGTGGGTTTCAAAAGACCACACTTTAAAATCCTTACTGAGTCACAGCCCATCAGTTATGTGAAGATGGGCTTCTCTAAAGCAGACAAAAAGTACTTTCCAGAGATTGCCTGTTCAGAACAACAAACAGTTGGGTTGTCACAAGTTTAATCTTGAACAGAGCCCTCACATCCCATAGAGTGAACACAGGGAGGTTGGAATGGCGTGGGGAAGATTCGGGCATTTCCTTCGGGGGGAACAGCCTCGTTCAGAGAGAGAAAGGGGATGGGAGGTGATTACCAGGGCTTGCAGCCAATTTGGAGGAAATCTCATCTGGAACTCCTGGGTCAAACTGGCCTCAGGCTAGAATTGATTGCCATGAATCCCTGAAGGAGAGAGGACTAGCATTGGAAAGATGGGGTAGGGAAGTGTGAGGAAATCAACAATTTGATTTTACATGCCTAGATTGTTTTATTTGTTCATTGACATTTTGACTACTGGATCTTTTCATTTGCTTTGCAAGGAGGACTTCAGAGGACTCTGGCCCAGGCCTTTAGGGGCGTTCTGGAAAGGCTCCCAGCCCCTGAGGAGGCCAGAATCTGTCCAGGACAAAAAAAGCTGTTCTTCCTTGCCAGAGATACTCTTGAGACAACCTTGCATTTCCAGTTTCCCTCCTCAGTAGCTTCGGTATGAGGGATGGGAACATGGCTTACAACAGATTAGCATTGTGTCTTCATTCAGGAACTAAGGCTTCCAGCCTTACACATCTCCTTTTGGGCTCTGTGATATTCTTGCCCAAGAAGTACCATTTCTACAGGAATTCAACCGACTAGACTTCTAGCAGGGTTTCTCTCTCTTTTTGAAAAACCCCATGCACCTTAACCCACAGTAGGTCCTTGGTGATTTTTTTTCCAGACAACCAGAAGGCTGTTTGCTCACTGCCCACTTACAATGAGTGCATCATGAGAGATTGGAAACAGTCTCAGACTGTTTAATCCTAGTCTGGCCCAGTTTAAAAGAACCCACAACTTGTAGGGGGAGGGAGCCCTAGAATGCCTCTCTCCCTGCCCAGACACTTCTTACATAAACCAAAGCAAGATGACGAGAGTGCACACCTAGCAAGATATAACCAGGAACAAAGTGTACAGAGACCTCCTCTTTGGATTTGCTCCCTTAATTTGGTCCCCCCTCTTCTAGTGGACCTGCCCAGCCTTTCACCAAAATCTTGAAGGTTAGGATTTCTATGTCCAGCAAGAGAGGGATTTGGTAATGCACTTAGGTGGCTTGGAAATTTCTTTCTGGAGCCACAGAGGGAGGAATCCTTCGAAGCTCTAAAAATGACCACACAATTACTGAGCTGAGTTAAATTAAGTATGTAGACACCATTTTCTATGGAAAGGTATTTTCTTCAGTTAACTGTTTCTGTGCATCTTGAATCTATTTGACACAATCAAATGACAGTATTGTTAACTCTCACAGCCTTAAGAAAATTTGTTTTATAGGCATTCACTGTGAGAAGTAAAATTGCTGCTTTGACAGGGATGATTCCAGTTTGCCGAAAGGCTTGCTTTTCTCCCTTCCACACACCTCTGCTTTCTCCTAGCCTGGCCCAGGGTGAAATAAGTGGCTCACTTCCAACCTTGATTTTTATTTGGATTCAGCATTTTGGGTTTGGAAGGTTTTAAGAAAGAACCATAAAGGGCCACATTCCTGCATTTTAATTTATCTGCCAAAATATACAGTTTAGAAGCCAGAAAGGCTCAGGTTCATTACTGAAAGATGAACTTTTTCTTATCTGAGGACAAATTGGGGAAGGTGGGTCTGATCTTTGCTGCAAGTACCACTTGAAGAGACTGTCATCCTTTACTCGAGGTTCCATTTCTTACTATGATATGTGTGGCCTCTCTTGAACAAAATCATATAGGTACCCCCAGAAATGACCCTTTGACCTTGTAGGGCCACAGGCAAAAGCACCCTGGTTGTATATAGCCACTGATTCCCAAAGACTTGCAGTTCTTCTTGATTTCTGCTGGTATGTCTTGGGGTCAGCCTGTAACTCGCACCCTTATTCAGTGGCCAGTCTGGTCTGAACCAGGCCCGACAAACTTTTGCTCACTTGCATCATTTTCATTCTGAGCCAGGAGGACTTTGGGTAGACTTTAAAGCCCAAGAAATGGCACTTGCTTTGGCCAGTGACATTTGATTTTGGTCTCCATCTTGATTTTCTGGCATTATTGATTGGCCAAGTCACATTAGCTTCTTTTGATCACTGAGAAAAACAGCCAGACAAGGCATTAGGGAGGGTGGTTAAGGCGGGGGAGGGGGTGGGGGGGGAGGAATGCTTACGTAGGGTAGGAAGAATGTGGAAGTAACTGTTCGGTTATAGTGATCCAGTCCGTTGGAACCTTAGAAGGCTCGTGTGGGCATGTCAGTGCTACCCTTTCAGTCTCTTAAGACCCCCCCCTTTGAAATGACAATACAAGTAGACCACAGTTTAAAGTAGCTAGTAGAATTCTACTAAGGTTTAATCATTATACTTGTTCATTTCCTGATGCATATTTCCTAAATATGCTTGGGGTTTTGGGGCAGGGGGTAAGTTTTCACTGTTCCATTGTATGTCACTCTATATTTTTCTCCCTCTCGTGACTTTGGCATCTTTAATTTGACCCTCCATTCTCTTTCCCTTGGCTTTATTGCAGTAGTCTGCTGGGGCAGGTAGAGCTCAGTGCACTTATTCCCTTATTACTACTAATTACCTTCAATATTGTCAGAGGTTGTTTTGATGTTCTAAGAAGATAACTTCATTTTTTTTTTTTTTACAAAATCATCTTTTCCAAGTTAAAAGCAAAATAAAATACCCCCTGTGCTAGGGTGCCCATTTCAGCTTTTGACATTGCCCTTGTACTTTCATAGATGCTCTTTTTGTCCGTGTTGGTAGTAACTAATGACTAGTGAATTTTCATGTAAATGAAGCAAATTAAATATTTCAGATTTTATTAATCTCTCATAACCCTGGCCAAATCTGATGACTTCATTTTAGTTACTTTCCCGAAGACACTTCCCCTCCTTTTCTTTTATTCTATTCTCTTCTATTTTTAGAATAACATACTAGGTTAAAGAAACTTTAACTGCAAGGAGTCAATGATTTGTAGTGCTCCCTGATAAATGATGTTATTGACAAAAGTAAATTCTTTCATTGTTTTTTCCTGTGTTAATATCTCTTCTCCTGTGCTCTTGACAGTGTGTTTAGTGGATGGATAATATGTATTTCTCTTTCCCACTCCCAGATTCCAAATTCCCTGCCTTTTTGGCCCACCTCACCACAAAAGCTCCATAGTTTATTAATGTAAGTTTGAATGGATGCTTCTTAGGGGAAACTGCAGGAGTTTCTGGAAGTGTTTCAGAAAGGAATGAAAATGTCTCAGGAGTTGTTCTGTGATGGAAATTGGTCTGTTGTTCTGTTAATGCTGATGGAAAGAAACTTACAGTGCTTAATAAAAGTCTATTCTTTTAGTAAAAAAAAAATGTGAAATAATTTTGGGTGTGTGAAGTTTGATTTCTTCTCCCATTTCTGGATCCCTTTCTGCAAGTGGGGGATATGCTTCTCTCAATTCAGAAATGTTGCACACAGAGATTTAGGAGCCTATATGTAGTTGAATATCAGGGCAAGAGAAATAGTACAAGAATCATCAAAAGGAAGGGCATATTTAGCTTCCTGCTGAACTTTTTTATTTGGATGTTCTAAAGGCACTTTTGACTTGACATTTCCCAGACTGAACACATCCTCTCTTCTGAAGCCTCCCCCTCTCTCTGAGCGACACTACCTTCTACTCAATGGTCAAAATCACAAACCAACCGGGGAGTTATCCTAGACTCATGCCTTTCCCTCACTTCTGAAACCCAACTCCTGACAAGATCTGTTGATAATACTCAACCAGCTTTTTGTTTCTCACATCTGTCCCTTTTTTGTCCCAGCTGCTGTGGTTTAGTTCAGGCCCCTTCATGTCTCACCTGAATTATTGTAGTTGCTCCCCTGTCTTATGCCTAACCAGGAAATTTTAAGCAACATTTCGTGTTTAAGTGTATGGACCTTTTCCCAGTGAAAGGGCCTGTAGCTTTTTTCGGGTTCTTAAAGAAGGCTATGACTCAAGAAACATTAAGAACCACTGCTTTAATCCACCATGTATATCAGCTTCCAGAGTAATCTGTCCTTCTAACATGCTGTACCCCTGCTTCTATGGTCCCTTCATGATCTGGCCCCTGACCACTTTCCTAGCCCCATTTCCTACAACCCTAACCCACTTCAGCAACACTAAAGTGCATCCCATACAGCTGTTAATATCCGTTTCTTTGCATTTGCTTGTACCGTTGCCTAGAATGCCTCTCTCCCCTTGTCTCTGGTGCATTCTCAACTTTACCCCCCAAGATTCAGCTCATATCTTTGTGATTCTTTTCTTGATCCCTGACTAGGGATCCCTGTATAGACTCATCACACCCAGTCCCTATAGCACTTTGCTGCATGTCTGCCCCTCAGTTAAACTCAATCATCTCTGTCTTCTTGGCACCTACCACCCAGCATGCACCTAGCAAATCAAGGACAGCTAAAACACCTTTGAAAATATTCCCTGGTATAAAGCAGATTGTAGACTTCTGAGACAGGATGTGTTGATGGCAAAAACACACGATTGAGTATGAAGGTTCAGCACTGGATGGTATTCATTTAAATGTGTTATGGGGTTATGAAAAAAACAACCCTGAGCTCTGAGTCACCTTTGAGCCATAGAGGGGTGCTTGGAGCAGAGTCTGAAGCCAAGACTCTAGGGCATTTTTCTTACCTTACTGCTTCTGCTGAGTGACACCAGCTGGGCTTGGCCTCCCTAACTGCTCTGTGCCTTGTGTGTACAGAGTACCAAAGGAAACAGCTGAGTCTAAAGGGGAGCATTAGAGGCTTACTGAAGCTTATAAACACCTTACCCTTAAATTAAAATTCTTATTTGTAACATACTTTGTTTTATATTGGGTTTATCATGGCTGTAGATGCCTTTTCCTAGCCTTTGATCTTTGGGGGTTGGGACTCAGAAATTAATAGTAGGAAATCTTTAGCATTTGGCTTTTGAAAGTTACCATTTATTGAGCACCTATTGGGTACCAGGCGTAGTACTAGGCTCTTCTAATCCTCAAACCACTCTGCAAAGTAAGTACTATAAGTACTATCCCCACTTTGTATATGAGCAAATGCATTCAGTGGCGCCCAAGTCTGTACACGCTAGTGAGCAATAAAACCAGTGTTCTAAATCTACGTTTGTTTTGACTAAGTAGATAACTTTGTTTCTGCCTGCCCAGCATTCCTTCTTTCTAGCAGTTAAATTCAGTTTTTCCCTTTGGGGTAGTGCTCCTCCCTATCTTGGGGTAGAGGTGGGTTGGTGGTCAGTCACATGGCTTCACCTTCCCAGTGGGATGGGTATATGATCCGAGCAGTGCCAATTGTGCTTTTTCATGGATTTGAGGGAGAAAGTAACAAAGGATTAAAATGTATCTTCTAAACTCACAAGCATTAGGAATAATGTGAGCCTAGAACATTGCCTTCTATTTATATCTTCTACAACTG